TGCATGAACTGAACCGCAGCCAAGCGGTGGACTGTGAATTTTTCGCGACTGCGTCGACCCATGCGGTTCGATTGTCTCGAAACTGAGCACTGATTGAGCCCATCGAAAGAACCACCTTAACATGAATCGCTCTGCAACTCTTTTCCGAGATTTGTTCTCGTCTGGTGAAATCACTTTGTGTTATGCAAAATTTCGAACCACGATTCATTTTTACGCTGATACTGTCAACTGTTTAGAAACCAGTAAAGAAAGTCGTTGAACCTTGCAGAGCCCCTTAACAAATTGATTTAGAACCTTAATAAGTTAACTCTTATGTTATGTTTTTTATCAATATTTTATTGAATTAATTTTATGTTATATCATTTCTTTTCGTGATACTAGAACTATCAGACAAGTCGAAATGACTCACCCCAATTTCAGGGTCGAAATTTCTTTTCATATTGTTCGCCTCAAAATGAATAATTTAGATTTCGTTTCTACATTCTCTAGTCTCAAAGATATTGTAAAAAATATACTTTCAACCCTCAACTACGAGAGGTGTTCTCACCCCTTCAAAATGAATGTTGACCGATAGGAAAAATATGTGCCAAATATTTTCTTGGGAAGTATGTCTCACGCAACTTTCATAAAAATCGATATGTGCTGGTTGAAAAGGTTCCCTTGTGAGATTGCTAGCGGCCAGTTGAATTCACTTGCAATAGCAATGAAATAGAAGTGTAAATATTCGTGTAAGTTGTTATCGGAGGAAATATCGCAAATTATCTACTAGTGTATCTACACCACGAAAGAATCGCAGTTGCGATATTTTCTAGAAAATTGTGCATTTGGCCTTATCCGTTCAAGTCGATTGAACGCGCGGCAGAACCTATGTATTAGGTAATCGAACTGTTTTCTGTGTATTGATGACACTAATTTTTACTATTTTTACTATAAAGATCTACTCTATGGTTAATTAAGATCGAAAATCGTAGTAAACAGTCTTCAGTTTCTACTCATAAATTTCGTGAAATATTTTAACAGTGTTTGATCTAAGATAATATATAATCATTGCTTATTTATTTATACATTTTCATATCAAATTCATATTCTGTGTACTATTATTAAAAATATTTTATTAGTCTTATTGCATCTTGTAGACTATTTTTTGACAAACCTATTTAGGTCGGTCGAGATCAGCCAATATGGCAGTGAACGTGTTAATTGTTTAAATAGTCGCCGTTATTTTCAGTAACCTTCAAACGCACACAAATGTCGAAACGGAAGACAAACGAGCATTCATTCTTTAAGTCTAAACGTGCCATAATAAAACGCACGAGGAGGCTATTATGTTTGAGTTAGCAGCGTTTAAATCTCGTCTCCACGTTTAATTAAGAATACTCGACGCCAAGTGTCCAATGTCTCGTTTCACGGGCTTCTACGTTATCTAGACGGCTATGATTCATCTTTCGATAGGAGCACGTATCGTTCATTGCAAAATATTTACAAAAGATTTTTCTTTTCGAACCATTACAGCGAAATGGAAGACCACAAGCAGTCGATTTGTATGTTGTGATATCTAATAATCAATTAGTATCTTAATTTAGTAAAGATATGCGGCTAGATCAGCCGTCATCAAAATAATGTAAATGAAAATTCTAAAGTAGTATAATTGACGAATACAAGATTTAAGCATTAGTAATGTAACGTAGCTTCGAGATGAAGTAATTGCTATATTGACTTCATTAAAAGTTCATCTGAGACGTGTTTATCTCATTTGCATTTCGAATGAATGCATAATCTGAACTAGATAATTGTAAATTACAAACAATAAATAAGAACAAATTAGTAGAACAAAACAGGTAAAATATACACTGTTATAAGCGAAAAGAATCACTGAAAAATTGTATACATATTCGACTAAAGATTTTAACTTTTATACTACCCTTTTTATTTAAGATTTAAAAATCATGTTACTTCAAGAATTATGTCTGCAAATTCTTCTTACAGTAAGTAACTTGCTGATAAAGTAAATTACTTTTCTTAACATTTGATAACCATAGATTATATTTATATCATAATATATTGCATCGAATCTACGATTTAATTTTTAAATCTGCTCTGCAATGTAAGTCAAACTTAACATATCAAATAATTTCTTACTGCACAATTATATTTGAAATTCATTTTAAATATAAACATTTTTCTCGAAAAGTTTATAAATCCTTTCAACGATATAGTGTTTCTCAATATTTATAATGTCAAATATACACTTTAATTCTCAATCGTTACATCACTTAGTAAAAACATGCATGTTCAAGCACTTTCATAAATAAATATAGTTAGAGCAACAAGTTCCTTGTAATCGACCAAAATGTTCATTTTATTAAATAAACCTTTTCGTCTAATGAACACAGATAATAATAATTTTTGTCACATTAACTTAATAATAATTAAGTCACTACTTAATTTGATATAGCAAAATTATGAAATCTTATATATAATATTAACTTTCGTATAATGCATGAATATATAAATTATTGAAGTAAAATAGTTCTATTTCTTAATTTATGTATCTTTTCCCATTAGTTAGATTCTAAGAATGTCATCTACATCTTATCGAAACATTTTGAATATTTCTAGTGAAAAGCTTTCGAGTGCAAAGGGTTAACTATGTAGAGTTCGAAAACCGGATCGAATGAATGTTACGGTGAGCCTAAGAACAATGTTCCACGTGTCATCGTTAACACTTGTGCTATAACAAGCTATGTACGTCAACTACCATATTCATTGGGATGAATTGTATGCCGAATAGTACTTGAACTATCAGGCTAATCAATACACGCCGACATTGACCTCCTTTCAGCGATAATCATGCTGGAACAGTGCGCGTGATTACGACTAATCTGTCGATTGCAATGGTATACAGATAACTGAACCGATAAAAATGCACAAGTAACGAAAATCCTGTATCTTAATGAAGATAAAGTAATTTATTATATGTTGAAGAATAATTCAATTGTAAAGCCACCTGCTTGAGGAACACGATGGATCAATATAATGAACAAGATGGAAATTAAATAAATAAATTTTTGTTGGAAATGGTGTCTAATATTTTGAGACTCATTTATACAATACTATTTTTCATTTTTGAATGTAAAAGTATAATCAATAAATACATAAGAAATTCAATTTTCAAATTCAAATTCAAATTCAAATTTCAAAGTCATGCAAGAGTAAATATCTATATTTTTAATATAGAATAATTAAAAATAGAATATGCATATGGAGTTATTTGTCTGATAAATCTGTAATATATTCTGTTAATTGAATATTCAACGTTTCTGTAAGAGAAAAATCTTGGAACATGAATGTAATAGCAGCCATTTATCATAATCTTGTCAATTTAGCTACAAACTACGTCGAAGTATGTATGATTAATAAATAAAATTTACAATGTAGCAATATTTTAGTTGTTGATTGCAAAAATTCGTACACTCCATTCTACGTTTATTTTTCAATTGAATTACTAAATTCTGTCTAAAAATTCATCAAATTCATTTTATGCCAAGTATAACTATTTTTAACATAAAAATTCGTTACTTTCATCTAAATGTAGGTATGTAGGTATGTAACACGTTTAAACAAGAATACCTGTCCAAATAAGATTTAAATTGTCAAATAAATTATAATTTTCAAATTAATTGTTATTACATTGTAATTTTAAATGAACACAATTTTAAATAAAGTAAACAATTATTCGGTATTAATAAATGATGCCTAACACAATCGTTAGAGATGATTTCGAATGAAAGATAATTGAAAAAAATTTTCATTAAAATATTTTTTTGGATAAACCTTAATTTGTATTAATTATCGTTTTCCTCACTTCGCTCTCTCTGTTTCGTATGCCTCATGCATCAAGGTGGGACAGACACATGCATTTAGATAGTGTCGGTATAAAAAAGCATACGTACGGAAATCTAACTAAGCAGACTTCCCATTGGCGTCTATAGACGGATGTCTCGACCGCTAAATATAACTACTGTTTGTCGTGGCTATTTCCTACTCAAGATAAATGCCAACCGAGGAAGTAGGAACTTGCCTCTTTTCTTGGCAATAATTTTGAACAGACGTATCAAATAATGTTTATCATTTTATCACAGTACGGATTGGAATAGAGATGACATATCATTTAAAAGGAAATCGTTATAGATTACACACATTAGAAGATTACGCTTATTTGAAATTTGAATGACAATTGTAATAAAGATTCATTTCTGAATACCTTATTCAGATTTTTCAAATGTCTACATTAAACAATTTCCACGAAAAAGTGATTCTAGTGGTTGTTCGTAAAAATGACCAAAAAAGCCTCGAAAAAAAACACCAAAAATTCATTGTTTTCAAGTATAAAATCAACTTTCTCTCTGTATTTTTTGTATTGAATTAGAAAATTATCTGGGTAACGGTAACTACGAATTCGACTTGGAACTGGTAATAAACGCTAAATAATGTTTTCGAGATACCGGTGCATTAGACTGCTGCGTAGGAAATGGTTATAAATAAAACTGGTTGCATCGGACAATAATGATATACCTTGCGCGTTAATATTATGTCAAACTGTATAACTGTGTATTTATATTACACATGAAGATGATAAATCATTTTGTGAAAACGCCTCAATCGTTCTGGCGTCGAGGTTAACTTTGACGATAGACGTCTCCAATGGATATTCATGGGCCTAATGTATATGTATATTATTTAAAATTTAAAAACTATTATCACGTAATTTCTTTATTTTATAAAGTAGCAGTATTTGACAAGTCAATTTGGAAACAAACTTAGAATTATACTTTTATAGTTTGTATTTAAGTAATACGTGGCAGGCTAAGAAACAAGTTTTTTTTGCTTTTTTTTCATCAATGACAGAATGGTGGACATACGAGGTGCAATCATTAAATTCCGGGACTGGTCCCGTAAATGGAAATAAAGTAAGCTGATTTGAATTTGGCTGCCATCACCTTTAAAGTAGTCCCCTTGGGCATCTATGCACCGATCCCAGCGCCTCTATCATTTTTCAAATGTCTCCTGGAAGTCTTATTCTTGAAGCGTGTCAAGCACCTGCTGCGATTCGCGTTGGATCTCCTCTACCGTGCTAAAACGGCGATCCTTAAGCTTCAATTTCATCTTGGAAAACAAAAAGATGTTGTAGATCCAGTTCTCGTCACTGGTTATGATCCTTGACAAGAGTTCTGGATCATCCAGTGACCGCTGACGGAGATCTTGACAGATTTGGAGACGGTGGTCCTTTTGTTCTTGTGACAAGCCTGGGCACGAATTTGGCAGCAATGTGGCATGTTCAGAATTGACGTGAGGATCATTTGAACCTCCCCAAATGACATCATGACGATATCAGCAATTTGTTGGATGGTCGATCTTTATGCACAATTGTTCGAATTTTTTCGATGTTTTCGGGAGTGTTGCACGTGTGTGGTCGCCCTAGCCTCTCGTCGTCGTCTAGCTATGTTTTGCCATTTTTTAAACATGAATGTCACTCAAAACATCTTGTCCGACTCATTGCTTTATTCCCGTAAACTTGTTTCAACATTCCATGGGATTCGGTTGCCGATTTCCCGAGTTTCACACAGAATTTGATGTTTGCTCTCCGTTGAAGTTTCGAGTCCATCGTGATTTCGCCAAGGTGAGCGTGCACGTACTAGTACAAACTTGTGTAACACAGGTTTCACTGAAGTATCGCTTTGAAACATTGTGTCGATGGTCTTCAAGGTTGTTATTAATTTGTGCTGCGCGCGCATGTCAATCATGTGAACCGTTTGATCAGAGCAGACACAGTCCCGAAATTTAAGGATCGCACCTCGTATCAGCTCACGTGAATTTAATACATTCCAGTATATCCACTCCTAAATCATCACGATTCCACAAGTTTTGATATAGATATTTAATTTTTTAATGTTAATTCTTACTGCTTCTAACATTATGATATCTAGCTCAGTGCAAATAAATCAATATTTTGAAAATGACTTTCACAAGTAAAACAATGAATATATGTTGTATATTATGCTAGTAATGATAGTTCCTATAATCTTAATGTCTAAACTCCCAAATATAAATACATATACATCTCTCCCACTTCAAATTTTAGTGATTCATATCACAAATTATGCCATAAAAATATCAATATCACTATTCACTAAATATACAAACAATAAATGGGTATCCTCAAATTGTTGCTATGTAGCCCCAGTAATTAACGACAAGTCAATAACGGAAGTACGTTTTTTTCAGTTACTATTCAAGCGCGTATTCATAAATCATTATTTGTGGTTAAAAACGTGTCCACTTAAAAACAACGACATACATCATTTCGAAATTCATAGACAGAAGAGACATTTGTAACGCGAACTGCGATCAGTTACACCGGTGGGGTAGGATTCAACAAGGTTTCGTAGACTCACCTTCAAGTTTTCCACACTGCCGTCGCTCGCAGCTTCGTGCACTATAGCATACCATTCCCCCCATTCATCCATTTTCGCGTGTTTTAGGCTCTTGAGATGAGCCTTACGTAGCTTAACTTTATCCAGATCCAAGGTGTATCTCTTTGTCCAAAAGCACAAGCGAACGCGTTTCCCCAGTCAGTTGTCTTTCACCGTCTTCTACCCGCGGCTTCTACTACCACTGTTGCACCGGGTGATGACTCGTCTCACGGTTATGGAGACTAGGGACAAGCCCAAAAAACGTTCGAAAGAGTCACTGTTATCATTAATGTTTCTCACTTCCCTTCGGGGAAGGTTTTACAGTTAGCAAGCGCACGCGAGAACGTATGCACACGATCACCAAACGATTCTCCTCTCCTTGAACATTCTGTTTCGATGCGTTTTGCGAACGCACGCCCCGTCTGGTCATCAGATGGCGATACTTGTACTTTCAGCTCGGCGGCTCATCAACAACTGAGCTCGCGCTGCCAACTACGCTCGAGTAGTCGTGTTAGTGCCAGCTGTTCGCTCTCTCCTACTCTCTCGCTCCCTTTTATTTATCGTTCCCCTAATCGCGTTCAACTTTACTTGCGCTAACAATTGCTCGCTCCGTATGAACCTTTGTGCCGCGCGCTACCCGATTTACCTTGGGTCGTGTCGATGTCTGTTATTGCCAGTGATCGTTTCTCAACAATGGGGAAGATTTTATTGTCCTCGTCGCACTCGTCGACTGCACACAGGTTCACTTCGGCGATGATCATTCGTGTAACTTCATCTTGAGTTCTTCGATATACCGACAGAGGACAGCATAATATGAACTTTGAGGAAATATATGTTTTGTAATGTATAATCTATAATTTATATATTATCGTTTGTGACATGAACACAAATTTTTTATCTGCAACTTGTTTGAAGGATCTTTGAAAATTTCAGGGAATTTCAATAAATACTTGTTTCTTTGCAGTTTTTAGTAATAATGTAAAATACTTGGTTTACGGTAACAATTTAAAATACTTGGATTGTTTGAACTGTTATTGTTAATAATTGCTTCGAATATGAATAAGATTAAATTATTACATCCACTTTAACTTTTAGGTTATAGAAATTTTACTTCTACACTGAAAGATTAGTAAATAATATTGCGTTATTATATTTGATATTTTTTTTATCGGTTTTCTGAATTTTGAATAATAAAAAATAAGTTTGACTAGATTATTTCGTTGTATTATATGAAGGTACCCAATTTCTATTGCATCGTATCACGTGTAACCTTATTACACAATAAGTTGTATTGCCTTCTTTGTATTTGAAGGCTGACATAAGAATTTCTAATATAAAAAATTTTACTGTAGATTATATAAAGTATAAACTATAATAAAGTAAAAAGTTTTAAATATAATGAAAATTAAACTTAATCAATTATTGGCGGGTTTACATACCTTTTATAATAAAATTCTTTAAACGTTTTAAAAGATCACAAAACAAATATGAGTTGTGACAACGATAAAATTACAACTTTCTCTGAATAAAAATATTTTTTACGAAAATAATGAAAATTATATAAAATGAAAGCGTACATAGAAAAATACAATATCACATTCAATTGTTACATTATACTTTTTGTTTCTAGTACCTATATTACTCATGCTGCCTAGTTATCCCAGTTTCCATTTAAATTAATAATAATAAGGTACATTTATAATTAACATTAGTAATCATGTTAATATTTCACTTATTCTATCGTCCACAATATTAAATATTAATTATTTCCTAATTTAATTTTTCTTATACCAAACAGAAACTTTTAATAATATTTCTCTCGCAATTACCAAATATATTTACCAGTGTTACCATTCGGTTTTCCTAGAAGTTCAATCGGCTGCCAACAGAGCGCACTACGATATAAACTTTCAGATCATATCGATACAAATCTAATACTCAGAATTGATATTTTTACGACTGATCACCATGTTAACTGACCAAAGAGGAGAGGACATCAGCAAGATGAATCGAATCAAAGTGGGTTACATCGACTCAAAACTGATCTGCGAGGACTAGCATGAACCAGGAAAGCCCCTAGGTTCTCTGTTACGGATACCATTAAACCTGAAACCGCATTACGTGAGTGGTCCGTCCTATACATCACTATGTTACGTTAGGCCCAAACCGTTCCCGGTCTAAGTACTTCAATCAATCCTTCTTCCCGTTGATATCATCAAAACTAAAAATTTCATTGAAACGGCATATTGCTTCGCTGCGGTATGAAAAATTATCCAGGGTCGCAAACGAATACAATAGCGAAAGATTTAGCTGAACTGGTCGGAACATCGGTCGGCGTTGCAACTGGAGTAGCACTATAGAGATTAACTTATTGTCGAGACTTGTCCGCGAACGGTACGATTGCTGCCATAATTCAAGGGATCGCGAAAGCCCCCGGGGCGGCGGTACCAAACGTTTCTCAATTATCGAAATGGAGAGGAGAGCTAAACGCGAAGGCGGCGGCGACGACGCTGCCTCGTCTTGTCTCGTTTCTTTTCTATCCCGGGCACTGGCGCGCTTGTTGCCGTCGGTTCGTGCACAACGGGGAGGATAGCTCGGTGTAAAAATGAGTACAGAAAAGGTCGCGTGGGTGGGCGGCGAACGGGTCAGAGGCAGAATGAGATGGCTGACAGATGGAAAAAGTATCGCGGATGTGTGAGCGAGTGTACATGAATAAGGAACAACCGGAAAAAGGTTGCACACAATGCAGCACCGGGGCGCTGTCACGCTGTGCACCGGCCGCCGAGGAATGAAAAACAGAGTAACCGAGCCTTCCCTAAGAAGGTACAGCGTTTTCGGTTACGAGGACAGTCGGAGAAATAAGGAGAAGAGAGCTGGCTCGGTCGTGTCCGAAGGACCGGCTGAAAATTATAAAAGTCTCCCAGGTCGTGCATCTCGCGCGACGTTACGTCGAAAGTTCGAGTATAAGCGAAGAACAATTCTGGAAACATTCGTAGCCTGGAAGTTGGAAAAAATATCCCCGAGAAAGACCATTACACCTGGATGATAAAGTATGCGGTAGTCGGAGTGACGCGATGCTTCAACGTAACTCGTCGTATCGGTCATTAATTCACGTTGTTCGTTCATAAAACCAAAAAGAGAGTGATATTTTCCTACTATTAACGGGAAGAAAGATGTAATTTGAATTTGGGGAGTTATAGACAGAATGAAATGTAATTTGAATTTAGCGATATTGATGTGTGTTTCTTGATCGGCAATGTCGATGATGAATATCTTTTATTTTAATTTTTATCTTTTAATTATTAATACTTAACATGATCGTCAACATCTACCGTCAGTTGAAACCGAGGTCCTAAACCATTCAAACGATTCGCTCTTTTAATTGATTAAAATATAATTAATTGTTTGTTCCTCCCTTTTCGACTGCACTACTCTGGTTTCCTATTCCCCGAGGATAATAATAGTAAGGGAACCTTCGGAGAAGGGAAGGTTTGATTTCAAACTTCATTATCTCGTAACTTAACGGGAAACTGACCCCACGATTTCCTTTGAAGACGAACTCCGTTCTTTGCGACCGTCTTGTCCAGGATAAAAATGAAAAATCGGAGACAGGAAAGGACGCCGAGATGTTATTTGAAAAGCATAAATTTCTCGGTACGACGAGAGGAAGTTTCTTGAATTGTATATTCTAATTATACGCGTACGCTGGCGAATACAAAGTTACGTTGCCGGGCTCTCGCAGCCGCGGACACTTTCGCATAATGGATACCTGCAAGAAATGGTAAAATATGGAGCGGCAGTAAATCTGTCATAGGAAGAAATAACGACACGATTTAAACGTGTACCATAAACGCTGTCCTACCGAACTGCTTCGGCTTTTATGGCTCTGATTCGATGGAAAAAGAAGTTTTGCTTTTATCCCCATTAAACAGCGGGAGCGCACGCGGCGGCGAAAAACTACGGTGCATTTAAAATTTTATTAAAAGGAAAACCGTTCGGAGTATCAATCTGAGGACACGTTGTAAATACTTTATTACGGCACAGGATGTTTCGAAAGGAGTGTGAACTATTAACATAAATTGTTACATAAGTAATTATCAATTATAGTAAATAAGTACCATTTGTTTATAGCTACTCCAGTTTTATACTGTAGTAAAATTTTAAGCTACTGTATAAGCTAAAAAATATAAAGTAAAAATTATGTCCATGGAACATTTTCCATTTACAGTAATTTATCAGAATGACCCCTGAAACATGTTACACACAAATTGCCTGCTTGAACGCTTAGAAAAGTGGCTTAACTTAGAAAATCACCATGTGTCGTATTGTAAAGGTGTATTACTTTGCAATCTATTTTCCGTTCGACTAACTTTTATTTTCTCTATAATTTTCAAAATGTTTAATACTTCCCACATTAAACAATGGAAAGGTCTAAACATTATCAGGACGGATTGTCCTCCTTTATTTCTTTAAATCTGAAAAGTATTACCTTTATTTACACTTCTTTATTTTTTAGAAGAAGCATCTATCGCACAATCAAATTATAACGTTGCGAATCGTTGAATTGGGATAATCCCGGTGAACAACGCGCACGTAAACAAGTATCGACAAAGTGATATTCTTGCCCGCATAATTACCATAAGGATTTAGGGGGAAACATTGTCGTACTGTGGAGATACGATGTATTGCGAAGCCTTCAAGCGCTCAAGATAAGACCGTCCTATCCCATTAACCAGTTCCTTTTTTATCTTTGACGAGACGTAACTCGGGAACTAGTCGTTCCGTCGGAAGAATGATTATCCGGAGGGTTCGCGTGTTTTACAGGTTTTCAAGGGAGGACTGGAGCGGGAAAAGAAGAGGGGGCACGACGGGGAGGGAAGAGAGGAAGGGGAAAGGGGCCTTCGTGTTCACCGGGGTGGTGCAAGTTAGATATATAGTCGTTTTACGACCGCGGTAGTAGATGATTC